TATAGCATACTAATCAGAAAAATGAGTCACTATGGTTTTCGCGGTCATGCGCTAAAATTTCTCCAGAGCTATTTGAGTTCTCGCCAGCAGTGTGTAAAAATCGGATCAAGTTCCTCCGAACTTGCAACTGAATTCCGCAAGGCTCGATAATTGGCTCATTGGTGTTCCTCCTTTTTGTCAATGATCTTCCTGACGCCACTAAACGCCGCTTGTCAAACACTTTGCTGACGATACCGAATTGTTTGCAAGTTCAGCTTTATTAGTTGATTTGAAATTACATATGAACTGTAAAATGCAAAAAATTGCAACTTGGATGACCAGTAATAGCTCACAAAAAATATTGAAAAGTCAAAATGCTTATTGATTAGCCCCCAAAATAAAGAAAAAACTAAAACTCTCAGGTTAGCATTGATAAAGCTCAGCTTGAAAATGTCAACTCTTATAAATACCTAGGCATCTATATTGATGACCAATTAAAATGGGCCACACATATTAACTACATCGCTGGAAAGCTGGCCCGTCCTCCCGGAATATTATTTACACTCAGAAAATTTCTTACCATGCCAGCTCTTCAAATGGTCCATTTTTCACTTTTCCAGTCTTATCTACAGTATGGTATCATGTCATGGGGTAGCGCTTCAACAACTTTCCTTAGAAGATTGGAGGTGTTGCAAAATGCAAAAAGCAGTCCGAGCTGTGCACCATTTCGATCTAGACTTGACCCTTTATACCACAGATGCACCATAGTTAAACTTTGTCATATTCATGAAATCGAGATATTGAAACTCATGCACCAATCTTTTGATGGTAAACGTCCTATAGTATTCACTGAATTTTTTAGCAAGCAGAGTAATATCCATTCCCATTCCACTAGATCAGCTTCGTCAGGTTCATTCCACGTCAAAAGGAACTCGTCAAGCAGAACACAGAAGTCAACCAAATATATGGATGTGAAGCTCTGGAATGTTTTACCTAATGCCATTAGATCGCTATTGTATGGTATGTTTAAAAAAATCTGAATGATAAGTACATCAGCAACTATCTCTCTTCTTATAACCATTGAAGTACGTACCGGTACTCGACAGTGTTGCCTATATTTACAAACTTTATGACAAGTTTTTTTATGTCATGTTTCATCTCCCTTACTGCAAGTTTTATACACCATAATAGAATACCGTACCGGTGTTGTTTGCAATATATTCTTTGCTGTAACCTGATTAGAGTGGCAATTTTCCCTCTTTTTAATTTGTATATAAACTTTCAAAATTGTACTTGTTAGAAATATTTTGAACTTATTGTTCGTTTTCCATGGTTTTTTAGTTTTACATTTGCCAAATTTCCATTCTCTTTAAGTTTTATATTATTTTTTCTTGTTGTCCTCCCATTTTCTCTTTTCAGTGCATTCTCTCGTGATGGTTGTATATTTATTTTGTTAAATAATTTGCACAGTAGCCTCAATTATGTATACTGCCTACAACTATTCAGTAGGGATGGGCCGGGATTCGGATCCGGACTCGGATTCGAGTCGAATCCAGGCATTTTTTGGACTCGGATTCGATTTCGAGTCCACGTCGTTTTTACCGAGTCTATAACCAAATTTGTTTTTACTAATTTACGCCTATGTTTGTACTTTTACCCTTATAAATTTCACTACATACCTTAACTAGTTGAAATTCAAGGTTAGATATTTAACAATATCACTAATGTGTATTATAAACACTCCTAATAAAAAGGACGACAGATATCCAGATAATATAACGCAAGTTAAAAACTATTGATCGCTTATAACAATGATGCGACAGTCGCCTTCAAACTATCTATCCTTTTTGGTATACATGTAGTACACAATAAAATATGTGTTAGCGCAATATTTTTGAGTTTTCGATTCGCGTAAATAAATATGAAACATGCGCAGGATCAACTCAAGAGGGAATTTCATCAATACCTCTTTTAAATCGAGGTAATTACGTGCAATCCTTTCTCTAAAAAGGGAGCAATGGAAAGCATGACGCTTTTTAGAACGTTTACATGAACTACTAAATTGCAAGCATTGTATTGACGACGAGTGGCATCTCTCTACCATTTGCGCACACGACATAGTAAATTTAGGGCTAGAAATATCTGGAATTATGGGAAATCATTGTAGTCAAAAGCTTTTTATTTTTCATATTGACATGTAAAAATTTCTAAATAGCCGCCCAGAATTGACGCAAAGTGGTGGGCTGGAAATCCAGTTCACAGCCAAGGCGCACATTGACCCACAGTTACGTTTGTATTATGACCGCCGAAAAAGAAGAAAAGTATATTTTCAAATTGATTCAACAGCCATCTGCGGAACCATTGGGGAAAAAATATGAGCTACGATGTATGTTTGTGAGCGCGCGATGCTGTAGTATGGTCAAAAACGTGTTTTTCTACTTTAACATTGTGACGTCACGGACTCGGAGGATTCGATTCGAGTCCGTGACCTATTACTCGGATTCGTCGAATCTCTGTAATGCCGGACTCGTCCCATCCCTACTATTCAGTAGTTGTGTCTCATTAAGTTACTTTTTATACTAACCTGCATCAGCTAGGGGTCGCTGCGTGAAGGCCTCTATAGGTCCCTCGCGATTCCGGTCACACAATTAACATGATCAGTGTATTTCTTTTGTTGTAACAGTTTTCTATATGCTTGTTTTTTGTGATGACAAATAAAACATTGATCCTATTGTATACAATGACTTCTACAGTGTGCTAAAGGTATTGTCTGACTCCAAGAATAGTGTGATGCATTTTATTCGCTGCGGTAGTAGTGACACAAGAATGCCCTTTTTTTTATTCCATTCATTCAAGGCAAGCAAATAATCGGACTTGAAGGAAATCATAAATTAGATAAAGTTTGATCAGTCATGTAACATTTAATGTTTGAACATTTTTTATTTTTTGCTGTTCAGACAATATGGATACTTGGCAAATTTTTTTGAGGAATTTTCAACACTTACGGCTAAAATTAGACAAGCCTTGGATCTGAAATAAAATTGTTGAATAAATCTCAAATAAATGATGAAACATTTACTCCGGATACAATTACATAATCAAATTTAATAAAACATAAAAATGCAATTTTTTGTGACGATTTCACTGAGAATGAACCCACAGAACCGAGCTTATTGTTAGCAGTGAAATTATTGCGTGCGTGTGTGTTGTTATTTCCATATTAAGTACTCATTCGTTTTTGTGTATGCCCTTATTACCAATCAGTCGATCGCGAAATATTTTGAGAATTTTAGTCGATCACAGACGAATGTAGGTTGGCCACCCCTGTCATAAACCATTGGCGAGAATGACCTCAAAACATACCAAAACAATTGACGTTTGTAATGTATTTACTGAAACCACATCTCACGCCTCCTTTTGTTTTCCTACAAAAGAATGAATGTTTCTCAAACTCTTTGATTTTATTATGCCGCGCAATGAGCGAAGGTGGGACAAAGGCGGTATAACAGTGTTTATAACATAGTTTCAACACAGGTTTCATGTATGGGAGTTTCCCCGACCCGAAACTAAAGAGTCATTCAATTCGTGCTTTTCATTTTCCGTTTCAAATTTTTCAATCGACTCCTTGATTCACACAGTTCAGATTAGAGTATTGGCTTGTTTGCAACAGCTATAAGTTATTCATTGCTGAGTTTATATTCTTTCGAGTTGCGATTATTGAGATATGAGCAAGAGTTTGTTGCTTTCAGCAGAAAATGATTTTGAAAATATCTATTGATGCACGTCCGGATGATATCCTTTTTATTTTTTGGCTTACTCGTGCCTTTTGCTCCGAACATGGCTAGATAAAATAATCGCCACTGATATCGAAAAATATCTTAAAGAATCTTTCTAGTCTACAAATTAACTTCGCTGTTTAAATTATCAAAGCTATACAAGGGCGCATTTTCATATTTCTCAGTTGGTTCTTTTGGAAAAAGAATTATTGACAAAATGCTAGAAAACGTCAGGGTTTTGTTCGAGAATAGTGGTATTGCAGAATGGTATTGAAAATGACTTGAATAAATAAATTGGGGGTGGGGGGTCATAGTCACCCAACCGCATGGATACTCCGATGTAATTCGTTTTGCGTGGTTACTTTAAAATCAAAAAACCGATGTTATTATAAGTCTATTGTTTAACTATAATCAAATGCACAGTATAATATTGTAGCAAATGTAGATTGTAGTTATGGATTTTAATTTGGATTTTATTTAACTAACTTTTCTATTTTTAGTATGTTGAATTCAATGAAAAAAAAATCATTTCGAGCCGCCCCCTGATTTTAATAGCCATTGCGACAGATACAAACCGTAGCTTTATGTGAACAAACTTCTTTTGTATACACCGATTTGAATGACGTGTGTTTCCGGTCCCGTCCGAGTGTTGGGATGTAGTGTGTTTTCATGTTCTTATGATTTCTGCTTGGATTCGACTCTTTAACTGTATTAAGTTGAAGAGTATATTTCAATATATCTGTATTTGGATTCCATTGTGCATTTTCACAATATACGAACATTTGGCATCACAATACATTGGGTGCTTATTGACTTCCGATGAGTTGAGATCGGAGTTAAACTCTGCTAACGTGTGCATAATAACACGAGAGTGCGAATACGCAGATAGGGCCAACTGTCCCTCATAAGATAATCTTATAATATGTGCGTTTCAGTTGTGTTCCGTGAAAGATCTTCAAGTTTTCTGCGGCAAATTTGTTTGTTTGACGTATCTTATAACAATAAACACAATCAAATACCCATAAGTACACATAGTCGATTGTACAACGGTTCATCGAATCTTAGAAATCGTTTATTGTGGTTCCGTTTCCAAAAACTGCTAAAATCTGGTGCCCTATTGACTCATTGCAGCATCGGGTCTATAAACGAGCAAATAAATCAACTATTCTGCTGATTTGCATCATAAGTATTCAAAAAATCAAACTATTTAAAAACATTAACATTATTGTTTTCTTTACAGCAAAGTTTTTACATCTATAATTTCCTTTCCAATAGAAAATGGAAGAAGAGATTGAAAATAATATTTAGATGTGTCACGTTACTGCGGTATAGTGGTCTTGAGCCTGAAGGAAAACATTTTGGATTACTAAATTAGTACGGTATAAACTGACATTTCACTGACGAGAAAGTTATTTTTTGAATGCGACAACTGCCATATTATTATGAATGATTTGTCTATGCCTCAATGCAGTTCATTGGAGGTCGATACGGTCTCAGCCAAGGAACGGTAAATATCAACCGAGTATAATTTTTTTTCCATTATTGGCATGCTATTTGGTTTTGAAATGTTGTAATATACAAATGTATACAATATTGTATGTAAATGTTGTATATATAGGGGTTAAATTTTGGAAAAATTGAACCTGAAAAAAGTACACCTATAGCATGGTATTGTACAGTATTATTGCGTTTATAGTGTTTTTTTTTATTACAGATTATCTGCTGGAGAAATTATAAGTGATGAAGAGCCTCCTAAAAAGCTTAGAAAGTGTGATTCCAAGATTTTGAATCCATGCAATAACAGGTTGTAATCACATTCATGAAAATAAGTAATTTTTAACACGCAGATTACCATTTTTTACTTCCCGAAAGTTTTTTTCGTGGATTAATTTTTTACATTCATATAGATCACTACCTCTTTCGATGGGTAAAATTTTCAATAAGGCAAATGTTGTATTCATTAAAATATTGTATTCACTACAGGATCTGTTGTTTCAATTTTATTCTATTCTAAATCCCGAGTGTTCAGAACTTCGATTCCGATCCCCGGCTCCGAAAAGCTGGAAAATTCGGCTCTGTTACTCGGCGGGTGTGCATCGCTCTAAGCGGCACCTCTGACTACCCTGCGTGGGTTCGGATCTCATGCGGGAATAGTTATGCACCAGAGGATTGTTAGGGTTGCCGCGATAGTTTGGTTCACGTAACTGCTGGTGGCTTCCTTCACCATCAATTCCATGCTTTCTAAAACAAATAACTGGCTAACTAATACCAACCCCAACAACTTTATTTGCGATTTACATTTAGAAAAATAAACCTGACTATATGGACCCCTCTTTTAGCTCATCTGAAGCAAAGGTTGACGAAACAAAACACAGCACGACAAATGCGAATTATTCAGCACTTGGGCTATATTTTTTATTCAAGTCCCAAATTTTGGGTTTATATAGTCTCCGTTTATAACAACAAACAGAGTTTTAACAATGAAACTATTGATTTTGACAATGATTAAGTTACAGGTATTTCTCATTGCATATACTACTATTCACATGATTGTTTTATCATGTTTATTTCAGTTCATCCGAAAACGAAACTGAGAATTCGACAGATACTGAAATTGACTTGTCTACTGAAATAGATGACAAAGATGATTTTCAATCGTACAATGCGACGCCAATAATGAAGTAAAAATATAGAATCTCTCAATTTTGCTGCACTGAGATATTTTATCCGTCATGTGCTTTCTCTTTGAATCGGTTTTGTTTCTGCGGAGAAAATACACAAATAGTAATTTGTATTTGGTTTAACACATTACAATATTTAAAAGCCAGAATGTTAGTTTCCTTAGCGGGAGCTAAGAATCCCATTTTCGAAGTACTTGTTATTGTTGCGCATGTAATGTGGAGTATTTAAGTAATGATGGTATTTTATGTTTGGCCACTATCAAAAAATTATCCAATACTCGTAGTGAACTTATTTAAACGCTCAATGAAAAATTAGCAAAATAGCTTTGTGTTTCAAAATAATAAAAAGAACGTTAACCACAAAAACAACAATAAAAACAATACATAGCCTATATATATTTTGTCAGGGATTCCGGATTTGAAACGTATGACCTTTGTGATCGCAAAATTCCTCCGGACAATTTTTGGGACATACCCGTTATACCTCGAACAAATGATTTACTTTGCGATGAAGAACCATTTTTGAGGGAAAACAATACGGACAGGCCTTACGATAAGTAATGAAATCGAATTATTTTAATAAACACATTTCAAGCATTGGTTGTTTTCGAAATATTTTCTTCTGAAAACAAAATAAAGCATTGTGAAAGTTAGTTACAATTTTGATCGGAATACTTTCCCCTTTTTCCTAATTTTTATTAATACTAAATAATAATTTACTTCAGTGATGAACATTATTTGGATGTTCAGTTTCGACTGATGAGAGAAGATTATATACGGCCGTTGAGAGATGGGATTCGCAAAATTACCGGTGGTAAGAGTTGAGCCAAATTTTGTGACAGATTGAAATTTGGTATATTGTACATGCTTATCTGTGGTGATTGTCGAGGACCTTCCATGCTATATACGTAATGTATACAATTTAATACCACACAAGAGCAGATTAAGAAGGCAAGGGTGTACTTGTCAGAAAATGCTTACCAAGTTATTGTTGTCTGTATCGAGCTGACACACTGACTATTAATCTGATCTGGTTATACGTCAGTCGGACAAATGTCATTTTTAAACAATGCTTAAATAATTAAAACCTAATTCAGCACGGTTTAAGCAAGGCAAACGTCACTTCTTCTAGTATTGCATCCTAATCAATTTAAGGAACTCAGTGTAAAAAGTCTACATAAATATGCTATAACAGTGTCGTCAAATATTGACTTATTAAAACTGAGATTTATGGATGTTTTCAGACTTGTCCCCCAAACAAAATTCCAGAAGCATCGATATATGAAAATACACTATTTCAGAATAAACGAATTATTTACGGTTTGACATTGCTCAACCATTTTCAATTTTCCATAAACTCTGGCCGAGGGTTTGACTGATCGCATGGTCTTTATCCTACCACTCTAACACAGATATTATGGACTAGGCACCGTGCCCACGTTTGGTGCACAAATTGTTTAAATAAGCAAAGGGTTATACATACTTTCTACATCTAACTTCTGGAAGTTTATATTCATTTTTTTAGGTTGCCGACGCAGTGATTCCGAAGTGGAATACTATACGGGTGTTCAGTTTGCTTATATCAAACCAACTATGAAAGGTAAAACTGCAAATCTGCATTTTGTATAACCTACATCCTGTATGAATGAAAACGAGAACTTATCTTAAAATTTATATAATGACATATTATATGCATATGAGAAATCACAAATTTCAATAACTAGCTTAACTACAGTTCCGGTAGACTATGCGAATCGCACAGGAATGAGGCTAAGCAATCCAAAATGAAGGGCGGCGTGACGTCGCTGTCAAGCATCGAGGAAAAATACTATACGTTCACATGAATCAAGATAAAACTGCGAAAGTCTAAGTGAAACTTAAGAATTCATATGACTCTGAAAAAATCTGAACAAAAATAAAACAATAAGATTTCAAGCAGCTTCTTCGATCTGTAAGTAATAAGTTTGATCTGATCTGAATCAACAAATGACATTTAGATTTCCTATGAAACGCCCACACGATACTTAAATTTCAAATATAACAATTCAGTTTTGCACCAGAGGCGCAACCAAATTTTAACAAAACGATCTATATAAACACTTGGAGTCAAATAAACTTTTACAGGTTTATTATATAGAGTTAAATTCAGCACTGGAAATCTCAAAGATATATTGTGGACAAATACGAAACGATTATCCAGTGGAGACTTGCTCTGCCTATCAAAGACTGTAGATAAGTTTGAGGTATGTTAACTTTTTACTCAATGTTGCATCTTCAGTTCACTGGACATTCACTGGATATAGAGCTCAGCCAATTTCAGTTATTGTTTCTTCATTATTACAGAAAGTTCTCTTATTTGCTGTGGTTGTGGATAGAAATCCAAAAGACTTGGTCGAAGGTTTATTGTCGATAAAAATGCTTTACGAAAATGAATCAAACAATCCGTACAATATATTTCCACCATTTGTGCGGAATTCACGAACCATGACAACGGGTAACATTTAATAGCCTATATAAATATGCGGTATATATAATCATGGAATTCAAATCTAATATAACCAATGTAGTATTGTATACTAGGATATCTAACAACAGACAAATCCAACTGAAATTTTTAAACCATCCTCCGAGACAAGCTCAAATAAATTCTGATCAAAATTTCTTATTTTAGTTTTTAATTATTATTACCATTGGATTGGAACGACAGACCTTTACTTTCCATGGCGAAGTGAGAGCTAGTCTAGCTTTTTATACATTTTACATTCCGAGGTATTTGGATTTGGATTTATTCTCATATACTTTCAATCATTCTGCGGTGAGACAATAGTTCAATAAATAAATAAAAAACATAGCCATTCTATGGAGGATTACCGGGTGAAATGGAACATACATAAATTGCCATTCCTGCTTCCGCGTGCTACACCGTGCTGTGTGATTTTTGAGTGGGGCGAAACTAAATGGTTTCCCGTGTACACCATTTTCCTTCATCTCTGTAAGAAAAGATATTAGAACGTGCTGAGGTCTCATCTTTCGAATTCTGAATTCTCATCAATTCAAATCTCTAATTTCCAGTCACACTTGTCATTAAATATCACATTTGAGGTGCGAAACCGAGTTACAATTTTTAACTCCATGGTGATCATCCGATTTAATTCTCACTTAAATTTAAGAAGGCTTCAGTTATTCTACTGTTTTCATGTTATGGATGGACATCCTAATTTGCTAATCTTATAATTTTATTTTTATTTTAGTAAGGATTAAAGATAATGTTGATTACAATGCGACTTATACTATGATTAAATCGGAATCGTATTTTGAAGACTATACACATGTGCTGTCGACACTGAAAGGTAAACTTGAGGTAGAAAAATTACAAGTTTTAGCAAATATTAAATTTACCGGAAGAAAATACATTGATTGCTGTGGATTTGTTAACTAAAAAAGTAATTGACGAAAAAAATTATTTAAAGCTTGAAAAAGTTCGAACGCAGCACAATTTCAATCTGAAATACCATATCATAGAAAACACAGACATTGAGAGAGAAATGGATGAGATGGGTATGAGTGGAGCCCCTATTATCCGCCTACAGGACGTTGTTTTCATAAAAAAAATGAACGGTCCATTTTCACCATGAAAATATTAATATAACTTAAAGATATATTCTTGTTTGAATATTCAGAAACAAAAACGGTTCCTTTGAATAGATATATTGTCCGATGCTCCAAACGCGTGAAACGCCCGGAGTACATGAAAAAATCAACATCTTATAGAATCAAGACATATTGTTCCAATTCCTCAGGCGAAGATAAAACCGGAGGTAATATGGTGGCCCATCGTTGTCACGCGTAAAATTTAAAAAAAAAATGAAAAACCGAAAATAAAAAAATAGTTGTGAAAAAACATAAAAATAATTGAAAAAAAAGAAATGAAAAAAAAATTAAAATTAAAAAAAAAATTGAAAAAAAAAACGAAAAAAAAAAAAAATTAAAAAAAAAAAAATTTAAAAAAAAATTAGATAAAAGAAAATAAAAAGGTTGACAACGATGGTCCGCCTCGTGGCCCATCGTTGTCACGCGTTTTTATTTTTAGAAAATATGATGCTGCTTGGGACCAACGTTGTCAGGCCTAATCCTACACGCACAAATGTGTTTCCTGGGTTTCTAACTCACTACTGATTTTCACGAGCAATATTTAATAAATTGAACATGAAAATGTTCTATAAATTCTTCATGCTACAAGTTCAACCACAAGCAATACAATTATAATAATGATAAGAGAATATAGAATTGAATACGAAAAATTGTTTTTACGTGTAGAAGGTAATTTAATTGGAAAATGCTGCTTAACTGCTCAGTTGTCTGGACACTCGTGCGATGCCGGTGCGGTACCGTCTGACCATGCAATCACTCATGAAAGAATGGGAGATGCGGATAGTCTCGTAGAATATAGACTACTGAAACACTCTCTGCGCCTGCCCCTTACCGTACAGCCGTAACGTACCGATCCAGACAAATGATAAATCGCCCTTGCTCAACCATTTATTTCAATTCATACCTCGACTCTATATATTATATACTATATTCTACTAGGATCGAGGTATGGATTGAAATAAATGGTTGAGCACGGGCGATTTATCACTTGTCTGGATCGGTACTGTACGGTATGGGGCAGGCGCAGAGAGTGTCTCAGTAGTCTATATTCTACGAGACTATCCGTATCTCCCATTCTCTCATGAGTGATTGCATGGCTACCGGTACGGTCATACGCAAAGGGACTATAACCGACTACCGGTATTTGGTAAGACGGTACGGTACCGGCATCGCGAGTGTCCAGACAACTGAGTAGTTAAGCAGCATTCTCCAATTCAATTACCTTCTACACGTAAAAACAAATTTTCCGAATTTTCGTATTCAATTCTATATTCTCTTATCCTTATTATAAATATATTACGTCTTGTTGAACTTGTAGCATGGAGAATTTATAGAACATTTTCATATTGAATATTGCTCAAGAAAATCAGTAGTGAGTTGGAAACCCAGGGAACACATTTGTGCGCGTAGGATTATGCCTGACAACGTTGGTCCCAAGCAGAAGCAAATTTTCTAAAAATAAAAACGCGTGACAACGATGGGCCACGAGGCGGACCATCGTTGTCAACCTTTTTATTTTCATTTTATTCAATTTTTTTTTTTTTTTTAATTTTTTTTTTTTCAAATTTTTTTCCCATTCTTTCTTTTTCGTTTTTATTTTCAATTTTTTTTTTTCAATTTTAATTTTTTTTATCATTTTTTTTTTTCAATTATTTTTATGTTTTTTCACACCTATTTTTTTATTTTCGGTTTTTTATTTTATTTTTTATTTTTATTTTCAATTTTACGCGTGACAACGATGGGCCACCATAGAGGTATCTAGTTCATTCAATATTAAAACTAGGAAGAAATAACATCTTTAGATAGTTATCATGCGTACAAAAGTTGATTTTTTATTATTTTTACGCAAATTCATTTAGAGCAAACCAAGAATGAACAATAAAGGTTGGAAGTAAGAAATTACAAATTACTGCTAGTATATACATATTATGTTATATGACACCATAAATCTCATGTTTTGGAATCAATTTGCTATATAACGTGAATTTTTTTAATGTTTCTGTAATGACATCAAGAATAATCACGGTCTCCATCCTGTCTGTGATTGCAACTCCTCTGTTATAACTCTTTCCATCATAAGTTGAGGGCTAGTAACCTAGCTTTGGAAAATCTCATATGGAGAAGAAATTAGAATTAATCTAATACGCATAATTTGACATAACTTCCTGCTCCTATTTCGTTAGAAAGACTAACGCATATTTCTCTCTAGTTAAACAAAAATGGAAAAAGGTTCGACTGCTGAAAGATCGTAAATGGCCCGATGCAAGTAAGCTTAACCTCAACCAAGTACAAGCAGATGCATTGAAATTGGCTTTGACAAAAGAATTTGCCGTTATACAAGGCCCACCTGGCACAGGAAAGACACACGTCGGTGTGCGAATCATGGAAATTCTACTAGCTAATGCAAAAAAGTGGCGGTAAGTTAATATAAGGGGTAGTCGCGTAATTCAAGAGCGAATCTAAATAAGTCAGATTATTTATTGAATAATTTTTGACTGAGTAAAATCACCCAATGTGTTGAACTTTTTTTCACACTTACTATTTTCAAATACAGTATGACAATAGATATCTTTTGATACAGTTTGCTACCGAGTATCATTTTTTATTCAGTTTTCAGAATGAGGCATTGACTCATATACCATTGAAATATAACAAATAATCCAAGTTTTCACATTACAGTATGTACTTTTCAAAGAAGTATTTTTTGATTGAAGCATAGTAAAGATGCTGTATATGGTTATTTGATGTAGGTTATATTTTGATATATCAAAACTTGATTTTGTTTAATTTCAGAGGCCATGAGTCCCACTCTCCTATTTTGGTCGTATGCCGCACAAATCATGCACTCGACCAATTTGTGGAAAATATTGAAAAATGTTGCAAAAATATTATAAGAATAGGAGGTGGCTGCAGCAGCGACATTGTTGCAAAATATACTCTTAAATCTATTAAAAAAGAAATGAAAACTAAAAAGAATTCTCGATTCAAGAAGCCAATTGGTTCTGCTCTAGGTTGGTATTAATTTGATATAGATTATTTTGTTAAATTTTTTCTGCTGTAAATGTATTGTTATTCTGCAAGTAATAACTTGTTAAACAGAAACTTCTGTAATTCGGTATACACAAGTATATAGAAAAAAAAAATGATAAAATTGATCTCCCGTCTTTAAATCATTTAGAACCTCATTCAATTGCATTCGCCTGTTTCGTTATATTAAAGATTGGGATCAACAATTTCAAGACATAGAAACTTTGTTATTTGGCCGTAAAGCAAAAACACGCTTTGTCACATTAAAAGTTCTCTAAAAATTACTTTTTATTTTGCAGGTAGCCTAAAGAATGGCGAGAATATTTTTCGAGAAAGTACTTTTCAAATGGAAGCTTCTCTTCGAGGTGTGCTGAAAGTCGATCAACTCAAAGAATTTATTCCTGGTGTTCTTTACACCCAGTTATGTCAGTACAGAGAACGTGAAATTTTGTGTCTATTACTTTATTATAGCGAATAGATACATACTTCCAAAGATGTTTGAATTTTCAGTTCGGAATGAAAAAAATCAAAATTTTTAATAAGAGCATTTTTTAGTCTGAGTCTGAGCAAGGCTTGGCAAAACAGGTTTCTTCGTTACAAATTGTTTTGTTTTCGAGACAAAATATCCCTTTCTTTCTGAACTCCATGCCGGTTGCTTGCATGCTTATCAAAAGGAATATTACACGTATATATGTCATTTATGTACGACAGGGGTCGGCAATCTTTTGTCGCTCGCGGGCCAAAATAAAGGCTGCAAGTCATTAGCGGGCAGCACATATTTTTAGTAATTGTGAATTTTATAGTTGTTAGATTATATTATAATTTAGTCTAAACGCGTCTCGCAATAATGAATTGTATACCATAAAAAATATAATCGTCAAAACAGCTGTTTTGTTACTATTCTGTGAAGCGTCGCGGGCCGGATTATGTTACTCCGCGGGCCGGATCCGGCCCGCGGACCGTAGGTTGTCGACCCCTGATGTACGGTCTTTAGGACTACCATACTTCTTTATGATCTACTAATATTCTTCTTCTGAAGACTCAATATCTAATATCCGTTTTTAGGCATTTGAAAAAAAAACTAATTCTTTCGGTATAATTGAAAGATAGATTCGTAGAGGGTATGTAAAACAATCATATGTGTTCCTGTGAAGATTATCTCTAAAAACTTGGCCACAGAATGTAAAAATGTAATTTGTTCACGTCGCACAGTTTCTGAAAATAGCATAAGGGCGAAGCATTTGCTCCTAGTTGTGAATGGCAACATAATTTTAAGTCACAACCTTAAACCTACTTTTAAAAAATGGACCTAGTAATCTTTTGGCTAAATTATGTTTATGTTGTCGTTGGTGGCGACTGGTGACCGTGTGGAGTAGATAAACTTGTGTAAACAAAAATTGCGTTTCCCTTTTACTACTGGACATATAAAGTTCCTCAATATAAAGATCATTTTTCAGTATTCGAATATGGGAAGTCTCCTTGAAAGCTATGCAAAATTCATTTTGTGATTAGGTGAATTATTAGTTCCGACTTCAATTAAAATTGTTTCACCACATAGATTTTCATTAGGATAGGATTATTATCGCCATCAAACATTAAAAAGAAAATTAAAACTAAAGGCGAAAATAGAAATTTGGAGAGATCACTTCTATTCGGTAGCACTTCAATGTACAAAAATAGGTCAATAAACGAAACAGAAGTCTAAATTCGATATTTTTCAGCCGGGGATACTAGGGATTCATCACTTCTACGTTGGCTTGGAATGCCAATTCACGTGATAGGACGTCTCCAAGACTGGAAGCGATCGTCAAGTAACCAAAAAGGCAAGTCCTATTAAAATATGAAACATAGCCCATTATTTTAATAATTAAGCCGCTTCAGAAAATATTATACAAATTTTATAATTTCATTGTTCTGTTCTCAACGCTTCAAATAACACATTTACAGACCAAAGAAAGCCTGCACATGTTCATATTATGGAGGAATCGTCAATTATAGAAGAGAGAACGCATTTGGAATACGGTAGTAATTTTTTTAGCGATTTAACAACAAAAGTCAGTCATTAAATAGCAAAATATAAATATCTACTTTTATTATAATTAAAGTAATTCGTTGTTTAGATTTTCATGGCAGACAGCCTGGAAACAAAAAAGATGACAGATATATTGATGAATTAAAATCAAGGTATCTTTCGGTAGATACTGGTATCCTACGTAAGTTATTACTTTTATTTCATATATGTTTTTGTAATTTCTTCAAGTCAAAATTGTAAGATTTTTTCACCGATTTTAAATTGGTTTAAGTATTTTATACTTTTCATAGTTGATTGCATATATGAAATAAATATATATATAAAATGTATTTTTGAATTTCGTTTTCTGTTCATTAGAAATCTCAAGAAGATGCCAATGCTCGACATTATCACTGTATTTTGAATACAAATTCGAGACTTTCAAAAATGTTATTATTATTGTTGGGTTGGTTGTACTGTAAATAAGTCTTGTCTCTATAAAAAATATCTCTTCCAATTTTTTAGGGCGGGAAAAGCCCTATCCTTTGACAAAAGCAAACTACAATTAGCGTTGTAATCATTTACCATAGAAAATCCGGCTTGCGCTATCCATGCAACCTACGTAACGTATCTACGCAAGTTATCTCAATATGGCGATGAAATGCGGATTAAAAACTTTGTAAAAATATAAAAATTGCAAATAGCGGCCATCTTTTCTGTCCGCTAAAGTTTGGGTGAATTCTACAATTTTAATTATTGAAGCCGTATTTTTACAATGCAATTCGGACAATGACTGAAAATTATTTTTACAATGACTCGTTTTTCATAGTTAGTTATTTTTTAAACATGTTTCTCGGGGTGTTTAAATGCTCACCGACATAACTGAATGATGGGATCTATGTTTTCAGTAAGTTATGTGTATAATTAAGTGAGTTATATAGGCACTTGGCAATCGCTCAAAATCCCTAAACATTTCATTTAAATGACGAGCCGCTTCTAGTTTACATTAGTAAAGCTCATTTCATGTTCTTTCTTCTAGGAAATATGCTGCATGAGGTCCAATCGAATGATCGCCGCGATATACAAAAAATTCAAAGGCAGCTTGACAAAACATCTTCAATGAATGATTATGAAGTCCACAATCTTCATGCACTCAAACCTGATGACAGATGGTCTTTGTACAGGTATACAGATTACTCATTTATTTTGCAAACCCATTATGTAATATTACTACAAAGATAAATAATTCTCTAAATTGATCTAAATGCACCAATTTATAGAAACTGGGTAACGAAATGGCGTGCTAAAAAACGTATCAATCGCGACAATATTTTGGCGGAGAATACACACAGTCTGAAGGATTTGACGAAGGCCCGTGAGGATGAGAATGAAGAAATTGTAAAAAGTCGTGATGTGATTGCTCTAACAACGACAGGAGCTGCAAAGTATAGATCACTAATCAATCGCCTGCCTATTAAAATTGTGATTGTGGAGGAAGCAGCAGAAGTTCTGGAAGCTCACATTGTTACTGCATTGCCTAAAACTACGCAGCATCTGATTTTGATAGGAGATCATCAACAACTTAAGCCTTCTCCAGTGGTGTACGAATTGGGGAAGAAGTATAAGCTGGAGATATCGTTTTTTGAAAGAATGATTAAAAACTTACCACACGTTACACTTTCAACGCAACATCGCATGCAACCATTGATTGCTAATTTGTTACGGCCACAAATTTATTTCGATTTGCAGGATCACTCCAGTGTTTCAAAAAGGAACGGGTGGGAAAATATGAAAGGTCTTACTAAATCAGTATTCTTTGTGTCGCACAACATTCCGGAAGAAAACATGTTAGAGGGAAAAAGTAAAAAAAACAAGTTTGAAGCCAACTTTTTAGCGAGACTTTGTAAATATTTGATACAACAACAATATAAACCAGCACAAATAACAATCTTGGCTATGTACGCTGGACAGGTATCGGCATTCCGTTCGGTTCTAGATAACTCATGCAAAGATGTAAAAGTAACGCCAGTCGATGGATACCAAGGAGAAGAAAATGACATCATCCTCTTGTCTCTAGTTAGAAGTAATTCCGAGGTAAAGTTATTAAATTCAGTGCTCTTAGGCCACCAGCAGATCGGAACAAGTACTGGTAAATGGTTACAAGAAATGATTGGCGCGCTAAGATATATACTTAACAATACCTGCAATTGAGGTATATAGTGGTTAACACGAGACTTGGAAGTCAACTTCGACGCGGAACCGACGCAGCATTTACGTTGTTATTTTTTACAATTATTACATCTTTTCCAGTTTTCATGTCATCAACTCCTGACCTTATTTGTAGTGATTTCCCGGTGTGAAATTTTTTGATTGATTCATTTGTTAATTTATGCACAGGTAGAGTATTATGATCGTCGATGTATAAAACTCAAATGTTTTGCTTGCAACTCAATCACCTTCTATTCGAATAACTCATAAAGCTCGTGTTTCTAACAGGGGAACATTGGATTTCTTCGGAATGAAAACAGAATATGTGTAGCACTTTCTCGTGCTAGGAATGCTTTTTATTGCATCGGAAATATAGAGGTACTCAGTGTTTCTAATCTTGTTAACTTCAAGGATAGTCAAAATAGGGCAATATTTATATTCTATTAGGTGAACCTAGAGTCAAATTGTTTATAAGTTGATAGTCATAATAGTTGGATTATATGATTTTGATTTTTTCGGGCTTGCAGTGACAGTAACTTTAATAAAAGATTGGATATAACTACGCACAAAGCATTATTCCATAGCCAATGGTCATTAGTTCGCAGCAAAACTAGACAAAACATTAATTTGTTAACATCTAGCAAAACCTTGTGAATGAATTGGAATCATGAGAATGTTTAGAATCTTGAAAAAAAAATGTTTTTACTGTGTATATAACATTCACTCAAGCATTCAACAATATGCAAATTTTCTCTAAGTTGCTGAAGGAAAAGAGTAAGCTGTGGAGGAATATCGCATTAAAATTGGAACAATCAGGGTGTATTGGAGAATGTCTAGAGCTGAAATGCCAAAAACATTCGGAACATTGTACTCTAGTTAAAAATGCTGAAGACTTCGACAACGTGCCAGAAGGTATTTTGCTAATTGCATGCATAATAGGACAATCTCGTTTGAAACTATTTTACAAATGACAAATATGCTACATATACTAGAACAATTTTTTCTTCGCTTCTATTGAAATGATCATAACAGCACAATAACCTTATATCCTTATTCAGCAGAAAATATTGAATACTCTTTAAAATAAATCAGGACTTCAGCCTATGACAACTCACACCTATCGCCTACACTTCATATACTACTGATAATATATAACGCTTCTACATTTAAATACTGAGACAATCTCTCCGTAACGCAAGTTGTGAATGATTAGTCTACACTTCTTGTCGTGTAAACCTTACTCATGACTCATGAAAACTTAGATTTGCGCCCCGTGGTCAGCAGAGCGTGACCGTACAAATAATTACGGGTAACTTCGATACATGGAAGTAATACCGGTAATCAGTATGGAAAAATTATATCACTCCACGTGACGTCTAGAATTGTTTGATATAAATCGCTCATGTGACGAATTTATAAATAAAAAATCTACTATTTTTACTTTCCGTAGGTGGCTGCATGGATCTATGTAACGCCCGTTTGCCATGTGGCCATTTATGTAAAACGAAATACTGCCACCCGAGCAGCCACGACAACGTCAAGTGTTACGAAAGATGCACAAGATCGTGCGAAAGGAAACACCCTTGCACAAAAAGATGTCATGAAGATTGTGGGTCATGTATGGTTTTGATACCAAAAGTAAGTTATCCATTATGAATATTGAACAAAATTTAAATTTCATCGTAAAATAAAATCTATATAACGGTGGCTAAACATAATTTACCATATAACATGGTGTCGTATTTTAGTTTTACGCAATAATCATTTAAACTTGTGCCATGCAGAAAAACTAAAAAGTGGATAAACACGCAATCTTAGTATATATATATATATGATAGTAAGACAGAGCTTTATTTGTGAGGAAGCTTGACTAAATTCTGTTTGTAAAGGTACCAATTTAAAATCGACCATTAGAATGGAAATTACCCTTTCATGGAAAATGATTGAACCAATTGAGTTCTGATCATATTAGAATTTTGTAAGAATTACTGTTTAGTTTTGGTTATTTAGGATGTTTATCATATTCGTAATTTCACAAAATAGTTTTAAAAATGGTCAGTATTCGATACGCTGTACACAGAGAGAGAGAGAGAGAGAGATTTATTTTCGTCAACCAGAAAAAAAACAACAGTCATAACAATAAATAATGGTAACAAAAAATACACTTTTTTCGGTATAGACTGGAAGGAGCGATACGACCATGCGGTAATCGGAGTCAGCTCCCTCCAAGTTTACGCTGATAAGTTCACAGTAAAATATGACTATTTGAAGTGGTTAAAATTCATGAAACAAAATTTGAAAAAAAAAAAAAAAAAAACGAACAAAACAAAAAAATGGACTAAGCAATTGTTCGTGTTAACATCTATATATACAAACAAACAATTTGAATAAACATGGTAATACAGAAAAGTTATAAAAAACAAAATAAATGTGGTATGATGCAACTAAGAAGCCCATTACTATTTTTCATTTGAAGAAATATTGCATTCATTTTGGACTGGGAGAATAATTTATGAAGGGGTCAGGTAAGGATATTACAAGCATTCGTCATGGATACATATTTGGAAAATATATGTAAGCGGGATCGGGATGCTATTTATAGTTTTGATATTACATGTGATGTTGTTATCTAATTTACCTAAATTGCCTGCAATTGGGCTACAAATTTCAATAGCCATCGACATGTGATGATTAAAAACAAAATGAGAAAATAAGAGAAGGGCTGAGGCGCGTTATACAAATTGAACAAAAAAAATATAATTATTTTAGCAAAGTAAATTTTTAAAAGATAAGATTTGTCTTTGAGAAATGAAACAGTTTGAACGAATAATCAACTATTACACAGACTATTATTTGAAAGCGAGGTCTAAGTCCCATGAATAAAAAACAAATTTGGCTATTGGACTACTACACTCAAATGTAATGTTGGACACATAACAATTGTTTGAGTGAGTAAGCGGTAAGCCTCACATATAAAAATAAGTTTCTGGAGATAAACAAAATGGTACTCATAGTCATGTGAATATAATATTGGGAAACAATTGTATAAAGAGTGGAATCAGCCTTATAACAAGAAAGAATTTAGCCAGATGGGTGACTAATACCCACAAATACATATATAAGTACCAATTTATAAACTATTATATACCCAAAATGTGAAACAATTTTGGTAATCTCAATATCGAGTGGAAATTTGGATAAATAAACATTATTTGAAATAGAGAGGGTCAGCCTCTCAAATGCACAAAATAGACCTCAATATAAAGAATATGGCAAGGGTTCAGCCTCAAAATTAGATGGCAGTTATTGCAAATACACCAATGGTTCTCATAATATAAATATGAATAAATAAACTATTATTTGAATCAGCAAGGGTTTGCCTCAAAATTAGATGGCAGTTATTGCAGATACACAAATAGTATTCAATATATAAATATGAATAAATAAACTATTATTTGACTTAGCAAGGGTTTACCCCAAAATTAGATGGCAGTCATTGCGAATACACAAATAGTATTCAATATATAAATATGGATAAATGAACTATAATTTGAATCAGCAAGGGTTTGCCCCAATATTAGATGGCAGTTATTGCGAATCCACAAATAGGATTCAATATATAAACATGGATAAATAGACTATTATTTGACTTAGCAAGCGTTAGCCCCAAAATTAGATGGCAGTCATTGCGAATACACAAATAGTATTCAATATATAAATATGGATAAATGAACTATAATTTGAATCAGCAAGGGTTTGCCCCAATATTAGATGGCAGTTATTGCAAATACGCAAATAGTATTCAGTATATAAGTACGGAGAAATATACTATAATTTGAATCAGCAAGGATTTGCCTCAAAATTAAATGGCAGTTTTGGCGAATACATAAAACAGTACTCAAAATATAAATAGGATAAATAAACTATTATTTGAATCAGCAAGGGTTAGCTTCAAAATTAGATGGCAGTTATTGCAGATACACAAATAGTACTTAATATATAAATATGAAGAAATAAACTATTATTTGAATCAGCAAGGGTTAGGCTCAAAATTAGATGGCAGTTATTGCAGATACACAAATAGTACTCAATATATAAATGTGGAAAAATAAACTATTATTTAAATCAGCAAGGGTCAGGCTCAAAATTAGATGGCAGTTAAGATTAGATTGCAAGGGCACCAATGGTGCTCATAATATAAATAGCCTATGGATGAATAAACTATTATTTGAATCAGCAAGGGTTTGCCTCAAAATTAGATGGCAATTTTAGCAAATACACAAATAGTACTCAATATATAAATATGAGTAAATGAGGGTTTGCCCAAAATTGGATGATAGTAATTGCAAATACACAAAAGTATTCGATATATAAATATGGATAAATAAATTAATATTTGAGTCACCAAGGGTTTGGTTTGCCTCAAAATTAGATGGCAATTTTTGCAAATACAGAAATAGTACTCATTATATAAATATGGAGAATAAACTATTATTTAAATCAGCAAGGGTTTGCCTCAAAATTAGATGGCAGTTATTGCAGATACACAAATAGTACTCAATATATAAATATGGATAAACATAAAAAACATAATAGTAATTTATATATGCTAGGATACAGAAGGTATCATGAAGTTTGGACAAAATCATACCTTCAGTACTTATCAATGAGATGCCTCATGAATTTACTCTTAAAACTATTATACGAAGATTCTTTGATCAAATTTGGAATGTTATTCCATATGTTTGGGCCAGCAATTTTTATAGATTTTTGCACCAGGGTGGAGTTTGTCCTTCTAACAAAATAAGAGCCTCTGCCAGCTGAACGGGTGTTATAACTATGGACATTGCTGCAACTGGTAAAATAATTGTTAAAAGCAATGGGCAGCATACCGAATTTGAACTGGAACATGACTTTCGCCACTTCAAGTTTATACACATCCTCAAGTTTAAGGATGTTCATTTTTTTATAAATTGGTCCCAAACTCTGTCTAGAACGAGCACCAGTCATCAATCTCAGGGCACGGTTTTGAAGAACAGATATTGTTTTGAGATGGGATTTGCATGCCGAGCCCCATGCCACAATTCCATATTGTAGATGAGAGTGAAATAGTGCAAAGTAAACAGTTCTTAATATACTTTTTGGCACAAATCGGCTTAGTTTAGTCATTGCACCAATAGCTCTAGACAACTTGCTTGCTAGATGGTGAATATGCATTTGCCAATTGATTTTACTATCTAAAATTACACCAAGATACTTGACCGAGTTGCAAATAGTTAATACAGAGTCATTCAGGATAAACTTTGGGATGGAGTTGGAAGTTTCTGGGTGTTTGTTACAGTTAATTAACATGATTTGTGTTTTGTTAGGATTTACTGTAAGCTTATTTAAAGTGAGCCAATTGGATATATGAACTAGTTCATTATTAACTATACGCTCCAAGTCTGTCATATTCGCGGCAGAGAATGTAGCGCTAGTGTCGTCTGCGAAAAGGTTTATTGAAGCTTTAGTGGCATTAACTATATCGTTGATATGGATAAGAAAAAGGGTAGGTCCTAATACAGAGCCTTGAGGGACCCCAACAGACACAGCTTCTCTCCGAGATTCCGAACCAGCCAAACATACAAATTGGCATCTACCTTCTAAGTAACTAGAAAACAACTTATTAGCAACCCCACGAACACCATAATGATTCAATTTACTAATTAAAATATTATGATCCACGGTATCAAAAGCTTTTTTTAAATCCAAAAATATACTGCAGCCTACTACACCCTCATCTATAATATTATAATATTTACTAACAATGTCAAGTATTGCATGAGATGTGCAGTGTCCATTGCGAAAACCAAACTGATCCTTATTTAAAATTGAATTTTTTTCTAAAAAAGAGTTTAATCTTTTCAATAATAATTTTTCAAAAAGAGTCGAAAAGCAGGATAAAATTGAGATAGGGCGATAATTTGAAACTTTATCCTTGCTACCGGATTTATAAACAGGAACCACTCTGGCAATTTTCAAATGCTTCGGAAAAATTCCTATAGATATAGAGGTGTTAAAAAATCGACATAAAATTGGACTAATAATATTTTTCAACAGTTTAAGCATATAGATAGATATATGGTCATGACCCTCAGCCTTTCCAATTATAAAAGAATTACAAACTATTTCTATTTCATGAGGGGTGGTCTCCTCCAAGAACATAGATGATTTGTTAGGTGGATTCAAATACTTAAAGAATTCATATCCATTATTATTGGAAAACGTGGAAGCGAGAGAAGGCCCAATCTGAGAAAAATATTTATTAAAAAGATCGCAAATGCCATCTGGCTCTTGAATTAAGTTGTTTTGAGTCTCATCATGTAAACAGTTTGGATGAGATTTCTTACTTCTTTGACTAATAATGGAGTTAATGGTATTCCAAGTCTTCTTCGTGTCAGTCTTATGTTTCTCAAAGCATTTAGCATAATAATCATCTTTGGCCCTACTTTTAATATGACATAGAGTATTGGAATACTTTTTATATTGTTGCTTTTCAACTTCAGTGCCATTCAAAAATAAAGATTTATGCATTTTGTTTCGAATTTTGGCAGAACGTAACATACCAGGAGTGATCCAGGGTTTTCGCATCAACCGGCATTCTTTCCTACTTAATTTTCGCAGTGGGGCATGTTTATTAATTAAATATTGAACTTTGTTAACAAATTCATCAAATAATATGTTAAAATTATCTACACCTATTTGCGGAGGCAAAATTTCACTGCTAAATATAGTCAGGGCTTCATTTAAAAAATTTTCAGGATTGAAATGCTTCATGTCTCGCTTCATATCAGCTTCATGCTTGGGAGCTGTATGTTGCATGTTAGTCTGGCAGAATATAGGAAAGTGATCAGTTATATCATCAAATAACACAAATGGCTTCATAGTCTTATCAGTCAAATTGGTATACATATGATCAATTAAAGTTTCAGAATTACTGGTTACCCTGGTAGGAATTGTGATTAGTGGAATTGTGGCATGGGACCGGAGCATATTCAAATATTGCTTCGTGAAGTTTGTATTTGCAATCAAGTTTATATTTATGTCTCCAACAATGAAAAACTTTTTCTTACCTTGAGATAGATTGTGTAGGCTAATTTGAAGATTATTTAGGAAGTCATGGGAGTCAGAGTTTGGATGTCGATAGAGGACCCCAATGGTTAAAGAAGTAGACTTAGCAGATGTTATAGGAATTTCAACCCATAACTCTTCACAACCAACAACATTTAGATTATAACAACTTATGAAATTTGGTGAAAAGTAAGATTTTAAATACAATCCAACACCACCAGCATTTGTAACTGTTGGTGTATGGTAGAAGTCATAGCCTTCCATATCTACATTTGAGAAAGGATCAGTTTTTAATTTGGTTTCTGAGACTGCTATGATGGATGGGGTGGATTCTAATTCGTATACAAGTCTGGACAATTCATCTACATTTTTTTGTAGGGATCGAATATTCAAGTGTGCTATAGTGACTGAGTGTTTATCAGATCGAGTGAGGGCAGTTAGTACATCTTTTCGATCAAAAAGCGAAACACAATTTTCTACATTTTCAAAATCAAAATCAGTGGTATTCAAAACCGTATGTTGTAAATCATTACCACTAAAGTTGGGACTATTATTAAATGGTGAGACAAGATTAAAACATGCATAACAGTAGTTGGAAGCCCTGGGCACTAAGGATGTATCATCTATTGAAAAAGAACATATAGTGTGTGTTCTGTAACCACAAGTATTACAAATAATAAAATGATCTAAACATGGATTATTACAAGAGGCACAAATGGGTATGGTCGACATTTTAAAACAGTTATAAAATATACCCACTTAATTGAAGGCTGTTCATTCCAATTTTTGAAGATCAGCCAGCTTTGTGATAGCAATTCTCGGAGTGTCCTTGTTTTTTCTCATATATATATTCCCATTTGTGGTCCAAAGCCGTTCGTATTTATTTGTTTTTCTTGAAATGCGAGCGCTGTAAAGCAAGTTATTTCGGAAGTCCGTTAGATTCTCATTTATGTACAGAGATTTCATGCCCTTTATTCCAAAGTTTTCAATGCTTGATGTAGTACGCTTTTTATCTAAAAATTCATTTCTTTTATTCCTGGCGGTAAATCTCACAATAATTGGAGGGATTTTTGTTTTGTCACGACGGGGGAGTCTGTGCGAAACAGATATGTCACATTTTTCCACTTTGATATCCAAAAGTTTTCCCATTGCCATGACTATGTCGTCTGTGCTTTCACCTACTGTGTAAGGGATGCCATGCAATTCCAAGTTTTCTCTTCGAACATACTGAGCCAAGTCCTCGAAATCCTTGTTAAATCTATGTTGAAGGGATATAACCAGTGCTTCAAGTTCTTTGTTTGACGCTGTTAATTCTGCTACTTTGTTGTGGAGGTCATTTAAGTAACTCTTTTGAATTTCAAACTCAGCGTTAATAAAATTCTGGCTGGCTTTAACCACTTGCACATCTTGCTGAAGAGCATTATTCACAGCATGAATGCCATTCAGGTCTTCCATCAGGGTATTCACTTTGCTCATCAGGCTGTCAGTCTGCTTAAACATGCCTTCTAAGCGATCAGCCATTTCACGTGTGTTGTTTAACACGGATTCGTCTATTTGGGTCGAAATTTTTTTATCATGTTCGTGTATTGATTCTTCCAGAAGGTCCTTGATACTGTCTTCAACTATAGCTTTGATTTCAATTTTCAAATTTTTAGTTATTCTTGCTTCCATAAGGTCCAGCTTGTTTTTAATTTCATCGAATTTTCCTTCCATTTTGTTCGAGACAATATTAATTCTAGGACTATTTAACCAGTAGTAAATATCTGTGAACTTAATCAAATAGCGAATAATCAATAATCAATAATCACACAATCCCAAAGTTAAATAAAAGCCACACACTGGAACAGGCGGCACAGGATTATTCAAAAATATTTCGAATTAAAGTTACAAATAATCTAATGGTGCTGAATAATTCAATTAAAACATACCATCATCTAATAATTTCATAAATTCGATCTTTTGACAGAAAGTGCCTAATTGTGCTCACGTACAAGATGTCGAGTGTTACTTACCACCAGGAGATATTATTTGCAAACAGAAGATAAAAAGTGAGTAGCAGTACTTGTATTTTTAAAACTATAATCTATTCTTATTGCTATCGATTTCACAGAAAATCTACTATATGATGTGCATTTATATTCTCTTCAACGAAATAATTCTCGCTCTACAGTGACGTTTATCGCAATTGGCGTATGTTTATCGGCATCGTTATCGGAAACCCCTGGGAAGCGGAAAGTCGTCCATCCTGTTGCATTAGTACTTTACAGCTAGCTAATTGTCTTCTATTTCATATCATTGTTCGTCGAACTTATTTTTCCTGCCTAGGTGTAGTGTAGTTTGTATTACTATTTTACACTCGATTAACATGTCCAAAACATTTCAGTAAAACTTTTGTGTGGACACGAACCTTTAATTCCTTGCTACAAAGAAGAAATTCTAGGAATTAGGCATTGTCCAGTTTCGTGTGACAGATTGTTTCAGTGCGGTCACGTGTGCGGCGGAACTTGTGGAAGTTGTTTGCAGGTAATAATAAATTTAATACCGTACTTTTTTGAACCCACGACATTTGCACCTGCATACTATTGCACCTATCGAATTTTTTTTTTACTGTTATTTGAACCCGTACTAACCCTAACCCATGGATTTTACAACCCTTCTATAGATTAAACCCGCGGGTATACGGGTGCAAATGTATGGGTTCAAATTAACGGTCACCGAATTTCTTACATGATGTCATTTCTCCCGAGTCTCTATCTTGATTTACGTATTCACACAACATTATTTCACTAGGGTCGGCTCCACTTACCATGCACGAAATGCACGAAACGGATATTGTGGTGTGATCACTCGATTGAATCAAAGTGTGGCACGGAATTCCTTGTATGTAGAGAAGAATGTAAAATAAGATGCTCTCATAGCAGATGCAGGAAAGAATGTTGGTATCCATGCAGCCCATGCACAGAACAATGTCAATGGCAATGTCCTCATTATAAATGCACCAAGCTATGTGGTGAACCCTGTGACCGCCTGCGGTGCAACGAGCCGTGTACAAAAATACTGAGATGTAAACATAAATGTTGCGGTCTATGTGGAGAAGCTTGTCCAGATATTTGCTCCATATGTGATGGGGAAAAGTTTCTTGGAATAATAAAGAAAAACGGAGGAAATGCCAATTCTCAGTAAGTTGCATAGGCAATTCAGTCGGTTCTTCATTCTACAAATAATTAATGAATAACATTTTATCCAGTTCTTGGTATTTTATTTTGTTATATGTCTAATATTTTATTATATATTCATTTCAATTGTTTTGATCAGACTGATACAACTGAAAGACTGTGGTCACATTTTTTCTTGTGAAGTACTCGACAATTGGATGGATTGCCCGGAGGTTGATTCAGAGCTAAAGCACAAAATGTGTCCAAAATGTAGTGAGCCCATATTGAGGAATTCAAGATATGGAAATATCATCAAAAAAATTTCAAGGTATATTGCATTTAAATCTAACATAATGGGTAATAAGTCTATATGAATTCCATTGCGCAAATTCTACGTTAGTCAAATAATAAAAACAAATTCGATACTTCATACATAAAATGTTGTTGATTTAACAAGTTCATATTAACAAGCTCACAATTTTAGTTTATAATCTTCATTTTACTTATGGAGAGGAAAAATACAATCTCTATCAAATTGCAATGAACGAATCGCGTCCGCTGTCCTGACCAAGTTCAGTTTAAAAACTGGTAATGAATCGGTGAAGCTGATAACGGACCCTGTTTCATCCAATAAATTGGGAGTTTTCTTCTCTGATATATTTCAGTGACATGGGTATGGTGAAGCAAGAAATGAACGAATTTAACGAATTATCTTCAAGCCTAAAGCAAGAATTACATTATCTGTTTGAGATGAAGTTGAATATTGTGGGATCAATGGTAGAAAAAGGTTTCCTGGCTGCAGATGACTATTGGGATATTTGCAAATTCAACGAGGTGATAAAACTGCCACAATATACCCGATTTCATCGTGATTAATGGTTGCTCATTCGCGTATGAATATATATGGAATAATATAAAAAAGAACCATATTTCTAATAAATTATTTTGTTTTCACCATTTAAAACTTAGAAGGTGCTAAATTGAATTTGTCTGTTAGTCCTTTCAAGAGTTCTACACTGCTCGATAACGAACGAGATCGGTCTGCAGTAAAACTATGAATTCGCGATACAACTATCAACATGATAGTATGTAAGATTCTAAAGGATTATGAAAAATTTTCCAAAAAAAGGTTCCACTCCATAACTCCATGACAGAAAATGTTATATACAATCTAACTGAGCCTAAAAACACCTCATAAATACTATAAAACGGAAATTTTATTAAATTTTGAAAAATTTCAATGACATTGTATGATGGAAAGTGGCGAAGCTTATATGTATGCATCACTTCTAACCAATATATATTAGGGAAACATAAAGAATGCTGAATGTTGTGAACTTGTTTTTGAAATAAAATACTGAAATTTCAATCAACAGATATTTATTGCCATTCATAAAATTCATCGTTTAACAGAATATTTACAAATATAGCTATTCAAAAATTTGCGTCTACGAGCGAAGAATCTATAACCTAGAAATCGTGGCCAATATTTTAGCATCTTTACCCGAAAATCTCTCTATAACTGAGAAATCCATCGATTTTTCAAAAGGTAAGTAAACTAACTTAAATTTGATACAGCAATTTCTTTAATTTTTTATAATAAATTTTCAATAACTACTTGGAATATCAGGGCTCTGAATGATAAAGTTGCGCAATAACTGTTCTGTTATTGCGTTTGGACATTAAATAAATATTTTTAATATTTATTGTGTTTGGAAATTGAATACTTTTTATGGAACGTTCGCTGACCGTTAGTACTACACTATTGCGCAATCGCACAACTATCAATTTATTCTAACAAATTTTTAAGCCTGAATTGTCATATGAAAATTTCCTATAGATCTCAAGGAAGCTATCAAAGATCTGATCAACTGGTTGATGTTGCCTCGAGAAATTTGGACATATAGAGAAGATGAAGATTTTATACGCGAGACATCGAGAATTAGGCATTGTGGATGCTTCCTCAAACTTCGTAATAAAATTCACGAAGGATTTGAGAGGTCATTTTTTATTGAACTTAAAATTGAGTTCTGTTATTATTTCCATAGAATTTATAGCTCTTAAAAGTTTTTTTTCTATTGAAAATCAAAACCGTTTCAATAAATTTGCCTCATGGGCGATGTTGGCTAAACTACTTTGAACAAAGAATGCGATGGATCGTGACTCGACAACTTGTACCTAACGTTACTTTTCAAAATTGTAGCTATGAAGATTTTAAAAACTATATGGTTTCAAATATATGTTCCACCTCTATAGTTCATGATTTTAAAAACAAGTGAATCAATACAAATATATATTTCTATTCTCATTAGCGTAATATAAATTATAAAAACTAATACTTTTTTCATTTCATTCAATGCTAATCAGTCGACCAGAGTCTTTTCGTGAAGCAATTGTTGAAGTGAAAAAACAACTTCTTGGCGACTCATCGGGATCGTACACACTGTACGATAAAGATGTTGTTGAAGATATTCTGATAAAAGATATTTTGCCCATGGTGAGTAGTTTTTAGATTTCTTTCGATCTCTACTAATATTTAAATAATATCTGATATATCAGGGGCACGCTTGAGAACACGACGAGTATGGGTGGAATAATTAATTTATCACCCAATGTTTGTATGTCCTAATGTCCATATGACCTAATAAGTGACTTTCATTCATCCAACGGGCATTTGTAACTTCAGGATTCATTTGCAAACAAGATTGCTTGCATAGTAATCCAAAAGTAAGTCTAGTGTGTAGTTAGTTGTTTGCAACAAATAACTTTCCATATTCGTAAGATACTATTTTCTATGATAGGTGGAAGGAGTCTCTCTGACAAAATGTGACGAAAAAGAAATTTTTTGTCAAAGGAAGGCACCAAACATATTTGAGAGAAGGATAAAGTGCCACAATGGCCACATCTACTGCGCTTCGGCAGGAAATTGTACATATTGCATGGATTTATCCACGTAAACGGAAGAAACGGAATACTATTCTTGAGAACTTTGATTGTGTAAATTACCATTCCCATTGTCGAATCTAATGTAGATTTTATATTATGAAGACGTAGTACTTTCGAGATCATTCTTGAAGTTACGATGGTGTTTGGCTAGTTGACACTCTGGCTATTACACCGTATGGCAACTGTTCACAAATATATTCAACAATTCAAGTTGGCAAATTGCCCAAGAGAAGCGTGATTTAATAGGAATAATAATTAAATGTATATCAGAGAAGAACAGAACAAAACGATCTCCAAATGACAAAAGCAAAATTTTGTCAAGCGAGTTGTTTACGTCACGACACTTGTTTACTCGCCTCGTTACGTCAAACATGCTTACGTTACATACTGTTTTTAAGTATATGTGAGTCAGTATGTGCAATGAGTTCACAAAAGTTAGCCAACAATATCAAATATATTGTTTACCATGAATAGACATAGCTGTATTAACAAAATAATATCCAACACAAGTAAATAAATATGTTTCATGTTTGGTGGTTTTGTGTAAGATTCAAGTGTAATTTCAACAAGTACATTCAGATTTCTTTTGTTATTTTTTATGTATCAATTTTATACCTAATTTGGTATGTGGCCGACGTCGCCAACGAAGTTCAAAAAGTGGCCCATTACCTATTTTGAGTTGGAGACCCCCGGTATAAAGCATCACATACAGTGACGTATTTTGAATAAAAAATGGGGGGGGGGGAGATGTTTATCACAAGCAAACAATGGAAATGTCGCGTAACATTATTAAAAAAAATGATGTGCCAATACCATACCGATTTCCTGTTGTTCTCATATGACTAGTAGAATTACAAATCTATGAATCTTTGAATGTCATATGACCGAACGGTTTATATGAATGGGTATTTATGTACTTATGAAATGTTTAAAGTCTGATAACTTGACCATTAGATTGCGATAAAACATGTGAAACGCTTCAAAAGTAAACATAGGTATATATATATTCTGTCCAATTAATGAGTCCGACTAAAGTCAAACTTTCTCAGACAAGCAGGTTACAATTTACTGATTGTTGTAAACCGCTTGCGTGAGGAAGGCTGACTTTGGTCCGACGAAACGTTACAGAAATACATTTTTGTTAGTGGGCAGCTGGACTCATTAATTGGATAGAATAGCCATGTTTATTCCAGCCACAGCATCCTTGTAGTATACGCATACGAATCCTCTAGCATAGAGGAAAGATAGAAAGTTAGTCTCGCGCTACCCAACTCAAATAGGAATATAATTATGACGAATGACCTAAAATATGTTACTTATTTTTTATTATATACGGAAACAAGAGAGCGATGATCAGTCCAAAGCAAAATATTATCGTATGCAATCTGTCACAGTGGACTACCGCCACAAGGTTCGCAATTTCCAATTTGGATGACGTCATCGCGCAAAAAATAAGAATTCCATAGAACCCACAGGAATATTTGAAATAAATGAAAAAGAGCCTTCAAGCAAAAAATACAATGTCTAACCTCTGAAATTTGAAAGCAACTGGTCTAGTAGTTAATGAAAAAATACGAACAAAGAAATAAAGAACAACAACAACATAATAACGAGAATATCGGTCGGAAACCGAAGACTTATCGATCGGAGGTTAGGGGTTCCCCAAAACAGCGCTCTTACTCCATAGTGACACCGTGTGTCGCATCACTAATTAATTGATAAATCGCTAATTATATGACATAATTCATCGAAAATCAATAGGCTTCTGATCCGAGCTATGATGAATACACATGCAAAATTTGGAGCAGATTCAACCTCGCTTTCATGAGATATCGCGTGCATCTAACAGACAGACAGACAAACAAACAGACAAATACCTATCAACATACTTACCGAGCTTAAGATCGATAAGTAACAAAGCGATCGATATGTAAATTTCGTGTCTAATAATCTCCACAAAATGTTTCTCTTTATGTTGAATTTCATATAACGGATTCATCATTTTTTCAAAACTGTCCGTGTTTCATCTCTTATTTTCTCGCGAAAGTCGACCTCAAGCATATCTGTGTTTAATCTCTTGTAACGCGGTCTAGCAGCAATATAAAGCAATAACGATATTGCACATGTAACTAGAACAACATTGACTGCAGCAAGAACTCCATAATTTTGTAAAGAATAGCGAGTAACAGAGCTGGGCGTAAATATTCCCATTTCAGTTGCAAAGTAGCATAATCGAAAATATTGGTTATTCGGATAGCTTTCACAAAATTAGAAATTTTCGTTTGGTGTTGCGCTAAAAAATCATGATTTAAAAAGTTTTCCGTGGTTTGAAATCACTGGCTCAACCGACTAGAAGCAGCTTTGCGAATTTTAATTATTTGCTACCCATAAATAATTTAGATGGACAACCTTGAACATAATCTGCTGTTCGTCGATCGATATCTCCCGAAAGAGTACTTACAAGCAATTTATACTCAGCAGCCTATGTTTGACCTGGAGTTAGCTGAAACACAACAAGAATTGCCTCCAAAATTTAAGTACCAACTGCTTTCGAATTTAAAAGCGAACCGTTTTCTTAAATGAGACTGATATTTGTACATTGAAACATCCTCGTTCTCTCTTTCGAATTAATGGATGAAGGTACATACAGTCACATGAGTGATGGATAAATAACTTTCTGGTCGTTATATTTGTTGCATGCTTAATAATCCTTTGACGGGAGTTGGCTTCGAGCAGAGATGGCGTATTTTATTTTTGTTGAGGTAGGAAAGAACTTGGATCGTAGATAATTATTCAACGTCTGCGTCAGTGAGAAACGTGCAGCTGCATCTATTCCGCAAATTTTATAATCCGTGGGCCATAGAAAATTATTCAACGTCTGCATCAATGATGGTGGTGATGCATCTTTTCATTGAGTTTTTTATTCATTGGGTTATATTGCGCATTTACGCATGCAACACGCATATCAATCGGGACCGGAGCGCTTTCTGGTACTCGATATTATGAAGTTCATGTGCGAAAACGCACTATCGCATGCATAGGAGTTACGAAAATGTTGTGATGACGGGGTAAATTTTGAACGTTTTCGAAAAAGTCAATGCCATACTGCTTCGTTATTATTTCAGATTTCTGAATCGTTAATTTATGTTTATAAAGAATTGTTTTTCATGAGGCGTTATATGCAGGAAAAGACTGAATTGCAAAGCAGAATCTATTTCCGCCCTCGCATCGCCACTGTCGGTATACTCAGTGGCGCATCTACTGAAATTTTTTTTTTTTTTTTTGAAATTCTTGACTCCGCTCATCAATGCTCCCCTGTCCTAGCCCATCGTAGCTATTTGGTAATAATTGTTGATTATTGCAGCTGAACTAAAGATCATGAAAACACATAATGACAAATTAAGTTATTGATACATTTTATTTTTCGATGTACGCTGCTCATGTGCTAAACCAGTCACAAATTAATGCAAAATACTTGTTAACACTTCAGTGATTGATATTCAAAATAAAACCGGCCTTGATTAAATCTAACAATAAGTGTACCCAGTGGAGTATCTAGGTATGACAGCCATGACTCGTGCCATGTGTGCCGTTTGAAAAGAAGCGTAAAAAAGGCGGACAGTTTTGATCGTAAAATGTATTCAATTTCAAAAGAATTAAAACTCTTTATGATGTTTTACATTCTAAAATCGATATCAGTTTGTGGCTAAATTTTGCAGCCTATTTTTGTTGTGTTGTAGCTAACTTCAGGTCCAACATAGGTAAAATGCTTGTAAATACTATTTTATGAGATATTTATCGACGAACAGCAGATTATGTTCCAGGTTCTCCATCTAAGTTATTTACGAATAGCAAATAATGAAAATTCGCATGGCTGCTTTTATAGTGGGTTAAATCCGTGATTTCAAACCGCGGAACACTTTAAATTCTGAATTTTTCGTAGAACACCAAACGAAAATTTCTGATTATTTAGAAGCTATAGCTATCCGAATAACCAATAATTTTGATCAGTTTTAGCGTAGGAATGAAATTACAACAAGACAATGGCTTTTGACTCGAATTTTAACAAGACGTAACGAATTCCAATTCAAGACTACAGAGAACAACAAGTACGCTGAAATGCCAATGAGAATTATTCGAAGCCGTTTATAGCAATGCAATTTTAATATGATATATATATATATTAGTTTGTATAGATGAGCACGAATCCTCTATTTTGGCTTGGATTTGGAGACGGCAAGCACGTAGTTTTTTTTCAAACAGTCGTCGGTTTCTTATCTGTATTACATGCTGTATGCATTATGAATATTGTTGATAAACTGCGTTGAAACAGCTAACTAAATATTTTTATGGTGTCATTATGGTGTCACAAACGAAATTCCGGTGTTCTAGAGGTCGCCTTGTTGATGGACGTTAATGTTTCCAAGAGCATCGATTTGTTAATTACATATTGATAAACAATCAGCAATATGTAAAAATTGAAAATTTGGTCGCCTCTAAGACCTATTGTCATTGAATGTCCTTTGTCAGTTTTTATTACTATCTCTAAAATTTAGACACAAATATGATAACTATTTCACAAGTGAGAAATTCTCCCTGTAATCCTACCATTGATTAATTTTAGTGCTTCTTTTCAGTGTATTCTACGAGATGGCGTCCATTAATACTGAACCTAATTTAGTAATATATCCTAGCTATTAAGTGGTCGTTTTTTTTTTTGATTTTTGATTTTTTGATTTTTGACGCGTGACCCAGCTTCAAACCTAAATTCTGAAAACATAGTAGATTGTCCCATGACGCCTGACATTACGAAAACGAGTCAATGTGCACGACCATGCTTAAAAATTGCGTTCGAGCGGCCGATAAAATTTCAAATGTTATACGTTTCCGTTAACCTTTTGCGATTTAGCCATTGCTTCGGGAATAAACTAGGATGTCCGTGCATGAAGAAAACGTTTATTACACGCAGCTGGGTCTCCTTAAATATTAAATACATGCTTTGTGGATTTGGATTTCTTTTTGTTATCGTAAAATAAAAATAAAATTGGGAACAACAATTTGACGCTGAACAATTTGACCACCTGAACGTCTCTAACAGAACACCAGTGTTTCTCGATGCCAATCACATCAATCTAAGATACTTAAGCTAAGCAGAAAGCATCTTAACACGCTTCCATACATATGTACACAAATTGTGTGACACCTGTTGCAATAAAACGATTTTGATGATGTTAAATCTGAGATATAACTGTTACGGACAGTTCCAAATAAACTTATACCCGTGCGAAACAACACATAGCTAAGCTAAACGCATGGAAGTTTGGATATCTGCGACCAAATATAGTGTTACATTAGTAAAAGTCTTGGTAATGAAGGAAATTTTCTAACGTAAAATTATTTCACTGAACTTTCGTCGAACTCATGGAACAACTTCACCGAACCCCAG